TGATCTACTCCAAGTCTGAGGAGGCGCATGAGGGTCACTTGAGGGTTATTCTCCAGACCTTGAGAGACCACCAGTTGTATGACAAGTTCAGCAAGTGTGAATTTTGACTTACAGAGGTAAAATTTTTGGGACACGTGGTGTCAGCTTCGGGTGTGTCAGTTGATCGGGAGAAGGTTGAGGCAGTAATGAGTTGGGAGAGGCCGAAGTCAATCTTTGAGATACGTAGTTTATTGGGATTGGCAGGGTACTACCGGAGGTTCATCGAGGACTTTTCTCGACTAGCCGCACTTATGACCAAGTTGACCCGAAAAGAGGTCAAGTTCCAGTGGGATGAATCGTGTGAGAGAGCATTTCAAGAGTTAAAAAAGAGACTTACTTCAGCTCTAATTTTGATAGTTCTGGAGAGGGGACAGAGGTACACAGTGTATTGTGATGCCTCCAAAGACGGACTTGGGTGTGTTTTGATGCAGTCTGGGAGGGTGGTAGCTTATGGTTCTAGACAGTTGAAGAGCCACGAGCAGAACTACCCCACACATGACTTGGAGTTAGCGGCTATTGTCTTTGCCTTGAAGGCATGGCGCCACTATCTATATGGAGAACAGTTTGAGATATTTTCAAACCATAACAGTCTGAAGTACATTTTCACGCAGCGGGACCTCAATATGAGACAGCGCAGGTGGATGGAGTACCTAGAGGACTATGACTTCACTTTGCATTACCATCCCGGTAAGGCAAATGTGGTGGCCGATGCACTGAGTCGAAAGTCACGGGGAGTTTTGGCCAGTATAGCTTCCCAGGAGTGGCTGATGCTTGAGACTGTTGGACAGTTCAGGCTACACTACAGAGGTCAGACGCGTGGCACTTTGGGGAGTCTAGCGGCTACGCCTTCCCTACTAAGCAGAGTGATCGAGTCCCAGGGCCAGGATACAGAGATATTGTCTATTAGGGATCGCGTACAGTCGGGTACAGGTGACGAGGGCTGGGCCGTTCACGCGGATGGTAGTCTTCGGTTCAGGGGAAGGGTTGTGGTTCCCCAATCTGCAGCTCTGAGAGAGGAGATCCTTAGGGAGTTTCATTGCTCCCGTTTTGCTGTGCATCCAGGTAGTACAAAGATGTACCATGATCTTCGCCGCCAATACTATTGGAATGGGATGAAGAAACACGTTGGAGATTTTGTTAGTCGATGTCTCACATGTCAGCAGGTCAAGGCTGAACATCAGAGACCAGCAGGGTTGCTCCAACCTTTGGAGGTGGCTGAGTGGAAGTGAGAGCACGTCACGATGGATTTTGTGACTCACTTGCCACGGACATCGCGAGGGCATGACGCAGTATGGGTGATAGTGGATCGGCTTACAAAGTCGGCACACTTTTTGGCAGTACGAATGACCCTCACATTGGAGGATTTTTGTAGACTGTACATACGGGAGATAGTTCGATTACATGGGGTGCCCGTATCTATAGTATCCGATCGGGACCCTAGGTTTACGGCCCATTTTTGGGAGAGTTTTCAGCAGGCCATGGGAACACAGTTGATGATGAGTACCGCTTTTCATCCCCAGACGGACGGTCAGTCAGAGAGGACTATCCAGACCTTAGAAGACATGCTACGGGCATGCATCCTTGATTTCAAGGGTGGCNTGGTCAGTCAGAGAAGACTATCCAGACCTTAGAGGACATGCTACGGGCATGCGTCCTTGATTTCAAGGGTGGCTGGGAGGAGCATTTACCATTAGTAGAGTTCGCCTACAACAACAGTTATCAGGCGAGTATACAGATGGCACCCTATGAGGCACTTTATGGGAGGTCGTGTCGTTCTTCGATTTGCTGGACCGAGATTGGAGAGAGATCCTCCACGGGTCCAGATTTGATCAGAGACACTTCAGAGAAGGTGGACTTGATACAAAAATGTCTTATCACGGCTCAGAGCCGGCAGAAGAGTTACGCTGACAAACGGCGACGACCTCTGGAGTTCGAGGTCGGAGATCATGTCTTCTTAAAGGTGATGCCTAAGAGGGGAGTGGTCAGGTTCGGAAAGCGGGGAAAGCTGTTGCCGAGGTATATCGGGCCCTTCGAAATACTTGAGAGGGTTGGTACAGTTGCCTATCAGTTGGCATTACCGCCTAGTCTATCTGGTGTTCACGCGGTGTTCCATGTTTCTATGCTCCGAAAGTACACTCCAGATCCTACACACGTGGTGGATTGGGGTGAGCNTCCTTCGAAATACTTGAGAGGATTGGTACAGTTGCCTATCGGTTGGCATTACCGTCAAATCTATCTGGTGTTCACGCGGTGTTCCATGTTTCTATGCTCCGAAAGTACACTCCAGATCCTACACACGTGGTGGATTGGGGTGAGCTAGTGGTTGATGCAGATGGAACCTTTGAGGAGGGACCAGTGCGTATCATGGACAGCCGAGAACAGGTTTTGCGGGGCAAGACTGTGAGGTTGGTAAAGGTGTTGTGGCAGCACCGTGGGATGGAGGAGGAGACATGGGAACGTGAGGACACTATCCGNAACCAGTGCGTATCATGGACAACTGAGAACAAGTTTTGCGGGGCAAGACTGTGAGGCTGGTAAAGATGTTGTCGCAGCACCGTGGGGTGGAGGAGGAGACATGGGAACGTGAGGACACTATCCGAGCTACCTATCCATTTTTGTTCGAGAATGGAGGTACATCTCTTACAGTCATAGAGTATTTAATGA